GCAAATGAAATTTAATGTGGATAAATGTAAAGTAATGCACATTGGAAAAAATAACCCCAACTATACATACAATATGATGGAGGCTAATTTAGCTACAACTAATCAGGAAAGAGATCTTGGAGTCATCGTGGACAGTTCTCTGAAGACGTCCACGCAGTGTGCAGCGGCAGTCAAAAAAGCAAACAGGATGTTAGGAATCATTAAAAAAGGGACAGAGAATAAGATGGAGAATATCTTATTGCCCGTATATAAATCCATAGTATGCCCTCATCTTGAATACTGCATACAGATGTGGTCTCCTCATCTCAAAAAAGATATACTGGCATTAGAAAGATTCAGAGAAGGGCAACTAAAATGATTAGGGGTTTGGAACGGGTCCCATATGAGAAGAGATTAAAGACACTAGGACTTTTCATCTTGGAAAAGAGGAGACTTTATATATAGAGGTATATAAAATCATGAGTAGTGTGGAGAAAGTGAATAAGGAAAAGTTATTTACTTGTTCCCATAATATAAGAACTAGGGGCCACCAAATGAAATTAATGGGCCGCAGGTTTAAAACAAATAAAAGGAAGTTCTTCACACAGAGCACAGTCAACCTGTGGAACTCCTTGCCTGAGGAGGTTGTGAAGGCTAGGACTATAACAGGTTTAAAAGAGAACTAGATAAATTCATGGAAGTTAAGTCCATCAATGGCTACTGGCCAGGATGGGTAAGGAATGGTGTCCCTAGCCTCTGTTCGTCAGAGGGTGGAGATGGATGGCAGGAGAGAGATCACTTGATCATTACCTGTTAGGTTCACGCCCTCTGGGGCACCTGGCACTGGCCACTGTTGGCAGACAGGATACTGGGCTAGATGGACCATTGGTCTGACCCAGTAGGGCATTCTTATGTTCTTATTCATGTGCTTTACTGGATCAAGCCCTTCTAAAACAGCAACGCACTGAGTCCCTGCCTGCACATGTACACACCTCCCTGAGGGTTGGGGCTGGATGTGGAAGGTATTGGTTTGAGCCGCCTTCTTTGATGACAGCTGCTTTTTGTAGAGCAGAATGGCTGACCTGGTTACTTGACTGTATCATTTGAAAATGATGGCAGGGCTTTAGGAAGGGTGCATCTTTATGTATTTTATCTAACTAGCTATAAAACCACCCACCCACCTCTGGAACAGCATTTCTTATCAGCTATGTCTACACGTGGAGCTGGAGGGCAAATCCCACCTCACGGAGTGGAGCGGCAGGATGGGCTAACTGCCGTGAGTACACAGACATCCCCGGCCATAGCATGCATTTGAAGTGGCTAGCTCATCCCACCACTCATGCAGCCATGGCTACACTTTATTTTAACACACTAGCACTATCAGAGGTCACACGGTCTGTCTCCTCCAGCTGGGAATCACACCCCTAGCTCCAAGTGTAGATATGCTCCAGGTGTTTTGCTTGAGAAAGGTCTGCAGGACTGGGCCCAGGATAGCCTGCAAAGAGAGCGCAATCAGATTTGTTAAACAGAAGTCCTTGGTTGCAAAAGTTATTGCACTTCTAGCAGAGCTCCTTGCAGGTATGAGTCCAAAGGCTCCATTTTTTCTCCAATAGGAGCAAATTCAGTTGCCAACACCAATACCTCTGAGGCTGGAGACTTGTGACTAGGATGGAAGACAAAACTCAAGAGCAGGGAACAGATTCTCAGCACCCAAGAAGGGATGGTGCTCTGAGTCATTTAAAAGCAATTTTGAAAAATGATTTGAAAACCCAGAACTTAACAAGTCACCGTCCCATAAACTAGGATAAGATGAGAGGAAGAATGGCCCAGGGATTAGGGTGAGAGCCTGGGAGTTGAGAGCTGGGTTGAATTCCTTGCTTTACCACAGACTCCCCTGTGGGACACTGGGTGCCTCAGCTCCCCCTGTGTACAATGGGGATAACAGCACAGCCCTGCCACATTCAGCTATTGGCAGGATAAATACATTGAAGATGGGGAGGTGCTCACATACTAAGATGGGGGGAGGGATAGCTCAGTGGTTTGAGCATTGGCCTGCTAAACCCAGGGTTGTGAGTTCAATCCCTGAGGGGGCCATTTAGGGATCGGGGGCAAAAATTGGGGATTGGTCCTGCTTTAAGCAGGGGACTAGATGACCTCCTGAGGTCCCTTCCAACTCTGATATTCTATGAGGAGGTATAGAAGTACCAATGGTAGATAGGGTAATTACACTCCCCACAAATTGGTCAAAATTAATCCAATCAGGGGATTATAAACACTTCTCCTTTCTAAGTGGGATAATACACATCTGGGAACCACTGCAGGACAGAAATGTAGCAGGACTACAAGAGACTCTGTGCATTCTTGCCTTATACCTCGACTGGGCTTGGTCCTGCTCAACACTCTGATTTCAACCAGCGAAGCCCAGGCTTAAATTTAAGCACATATATAATCCCATTAATGTCAATGGGGCTACTTATGTGCTTAGTGTTGGGCACAAGCTTAAATGCTTTGCTGGATCAGGTCAGAGTGCTCTGCACCTTTCACAGTTAAGCTCTCACTGCATGCCTCAATGGTACTGCTCTCTCACTGTATACAAATGTATGTGGCTCTTTAAATGAGAGTGACTGTATTGTATCTAAACCTGTAGCCATGTTGTCACTCTAGGGTCACTTCAAGGGGCATGATTTTGAGGGCTGGTGTTTAGTGCTTTCTGAAAAGCAGATCCCTTGAAGGTATCCCAAAAACGGAGCCTCCCAAAAGGACTAGTCTCTTAAAGATATTGGCCTTGTGCCCCAATCCTGCAATGGGCACCTGCACACACTGGTGTTTGCTCCTATGGAGCTTGGTAGAGAATTGAGGCCTCCTTGTACTGCCTCTTATCTGAAACAGGATCATGTGGACTACAATATTTTTAAGCAGTATTGTCCTTAATGGGGCAATAGGTTTTGGTAGAAAAAAATCCTAATGATTTGACTGGCCAGTGACTAAGATAGGGTCATATGACTCTGTAACTTTAACAAACAAAGGCTAGGTTTGGGGTAAATCACAATGTCAGCCTCATTGGGGCAACAAGGTATTTTAAACTGTCTAATGAAACCTACAGAAACTAGACTTCTTAGTCTCCAGGAAGAACAATTTTTCCTTGAGTTGGCTTCTGGAGAGCTACACATGCCCACATTTAAAGGCTCTAAAGCCAGTAAAGGCTTTATCCCTGACATCAACCAAACAGCATCAAACCAACCCAACAACCCAAACAGAAATCGTTTTATACTATATATCTCATCTCCAAGCATATATAGATATAGTTACACACAAAGAGTGCCAGATCCTCAGCTGGTGTCACTCCACTGAAGTCAGCAGAACTATGTTGATTTTCACCAGAGGAGGATCTGGCCCAGTTATTTTAGTCTCTCTCTGCACCCCCACTTCCTGTTAGCCTAAGGCAGTTAAGTACAGTAAGTACATCAAATGTTTTTTATTTCACTTAAGCAGCAGTGTTAATAGAATTACATGTAATGCTATGACTAATTTCCACTTGGCCTCAGTGTTCATTTTGCAAGCATCTGATTTTAATCTAATCACAAACTCTAATGCCATTTACATTATTATAATTGTATACTTAACTACACTGCCATTGGAACAATCAAGCCATAAGGCCTAACCATCACTGCAGCAGGGAAGCTTCTAATTAGTAATGATGGAAAAACAATCAGGCATGCTGTGGAGCAGAATTGAGGGGGACTGGCAAAGCTGTGGTGTGAGCTGGGGGTGGAACCATACCAGGTCAGGATTCAGGTACACTGATATTGCTGTGTGCAGAGCCAGGAATGGATTAGCAGGCATGCTGCAGATCCACAGGAATGGATTTCCACAGCTATGGGGGAGTCCCAGAACATTGTTTCATAATAGGACTGAAGTGCGTTGGCAGAGCTATTCATGGGCCCATTTACAGAGGCTGATTTTCAGAGGTGCGGAACTTCCTCAGCTCTCATTGACTTCAACTGGAGTTGTGAATGCTCAGCATTTCTAAAAATCAGGTCCAGACCTGAATGAGGACCCAGAACTACAACAGAAGATTATGGCAAGTCAGCATTGAGCAGTGTTAGCATAGCTGGGTGAGGGAGGCAGGGCTGGAGTAGGAGGATGAGTACTCAGTTTATGGTGCACTCTGGGAATTCAGAGGAAAGTGTGCATAACATGCCTGAACCCTATTTGGCTTTACCCACTGCTATCAATGTGCTACTTGCACTACCAGCATGGATACCATAGTAAGTTAAGTCCAAATGGTAAGGGATGCAACTCTATGCTCTGGGTGTCCCTAGACCTCTGCCTGCCAGAAGCTGGGTCTGGATGACAGGAATCACTCAGTAACTGCCCTGTTCTGTTCATTTCCTCTGACGCACCTGGCATTGGCCACTGTTAGAAGACAGGCTACTGGGCTAAATGGACCATTGGTCTGACCCAGTATGGCTATTCTTAAGCACACCATCCTGATTCTTTCCAAAACAAGAACATAAAACTGTATTGAACTTCTGTCTTATAGGACACTAGACTGGGGCTCAGGAGTCCTGGGTTCTATTTCCATGGTTACCACTGGCATGCTGAGTGACCGAACGCAAATCATGTCACAGCTCTGTGCCTCAGTTTCCCCATCTGCAAAATGGGGATCAAGAGACTGACCTCTGTTGTAAAACACTTTGAGATCTACTGATGAAAAGTTCTATATGAGAGCTTAACTTTGCAACCGTATATCATGGGAGGAATTTCTTCCTGTCCCTAGCTGATGATCAGCTCATGTCCTCAAGCATAAGGATAGTTAACAATTGTATACATAGCTACACCTAAGGGGCCTGACTCCTAAGTGCCTTGCCTTTGGGAAGTCATTAGCAAATGTGCAGTGGGATGGTTCTGAGCTGGTCACATTGGCACAGGTGTAAGTGACTGGAGAAATCAGGCCATCTCACTGATATGCACCTTTCCCTCACCACTACCCACTATTCGGCTCTCTTCAGAAACCATACCTTCATGGCCTGCATCTTCTGCATCAATTTCCATGGTCACCTTCTCCTCCCAGGTAGGAGACTGTGTAGGCTCAGAGGACACATGAGTCACCCCCTGGGCTTCCAATTTCTTCTCAACATCAGAGTTGCTTTTACTAAGAAAGAAGAAGAAAAAACAACCACTCAACATTACAGCAGGGGTACATCCACATTGACACGCGCAAAGCCCTGCAGTGAACTGAAGACATCAGAGGAACAAATGCCCCTTCCCTTCATGCCCAAGCCAGAGACCTAATAACTTACATTCATATGGCCTGTTCACCTCAAAGCATCCCAAAGTGTATTACTGACTACAGGCCAAACTCATGCCTGGCATAATGCCACTAAAGTTAATGGATGAATTTGGCAGGGTGTGTATATAGGTTCATTTCCTCAATCAGCAAAATGCAGCCACCTCTGAGATGGAGCACAGCAGCAGTTTAGCAGTGCTCAGCAACACTACACATGTTGTAGATGAAGAAGTGAAGAACTTCTCCAAATGAAACTTGAAGGGGGATTTTAAATAAGCCAGAATGCAATTATCATGAGGGACATTTGCTAGCACTCCCACTCTTGCGATGAGAGCCCTGGGTGTGATGTTCTCTGCTGGTGGTGTCTGGACAAGTGATCTGCTAGGCCACTCCAATCCTTGACTCTGGGAGCCAGCCTTACCCTGCTCTGCTGTGAGAACCCCCACTCCTGGGCTCTTCATGCAAAGCCTCTGGCATGCAAGCTGCTCCCAGCTACTTGCAAGCAAATGATATTAGCCAATATCTCTGGTCCCAGACACAACTCTAGGCACCTCCGTCTTGCAGTGTCTAGTTATGCCCACTGGACTCTGCAAGCTTATATAAGTTCGTCAATTTAACAAAGAAACTGATATGTACCAGGCTTGTTATCCCAAGGGGAGCCTCTGGCACACTTTACACCAAACACACTGCTTGAGGTAGAATAAACAAACAGATTTATTAGCTGTAAAGATAGATTTTAAGTGATTACAAGTCAAAGCATAACAAGTCAGAGTGGTTACCAAAAGAAAAGAAAATATAAGCAAACAGTCTAAACTCTCAATCCTATTAGACTGGGCAGTAACTAGATTAAGCAGTTTTTCTCACCCCACTGGATATTGCAATCCTTAGTATACAGCAGAGGTGGGCAAACTACGGCCCGTGGGCCACATCCAGCCCGTGGGCCCGTCCTGCCCGGCCCCTGAGCTCCTGGCCCGGGAGGCTAGCCCCCGGCCCCTCCCTTGCTGTCCACCCTCCCCCACAGCCATGCCACCGTGCGGGCAGCACTCTGGGTGGCGGGGCTGCGCGCTCATGCAGGGCAGCGTGGCAGCACGGCAGCGTGTGTGGCTCCCAGACATGCTACTCTGAGCAGCATGGTAAGGGGGCCGGGGCCAGGGGTTGGATAAGGGGAAGAGGGTCCTGGGGGGCAGTCAGGGAGCAGGGGGTGGTTGGATAGGGGGTGGGGTCCTGGGGGGGTGGGTCATCCCAGGAGGGGTCGGTCAGGGGATGGGGAACAGGGGGCAGTTGGATAGGGCAGAGGTTCTGGGGAGGGCAGTCAGGGAACAGGGAGTGGTGGGGTTAGATTGGGGGTGGAGCCCCATGGGGCGGTTGGGGCAGGGGTCCTGGGAGGGGGCGGTCAGGGGACAAGGAGTCGCGGGGGGTTAGATGGGGAGGCTCTGAGGGGGGCGGGAAGTGGGAGGGGGCGGATATGGGGCAGGGGCCAGGCTGTTTGGGGAGGCACAGCCTTCCCTACCTGGCCCTCCATACAGTTTCGCACCCCAATGTGGCCCTCAGGCCAAAAAGTTTGCCCATCCCGGTATACAGGTTTGTTCCTTAAACCTGGGCCAATCTCCTGTGTTGGAGTCTTGTCTTCTTGTCTTGGTTGCTTGCAGCAGAGGTGGGGGCAGGAGAAGAGGCCCGTTTGTGTCCCTTCTGTTTGTTTTATACCCTCAGTCCAAGTGCTTTTGGAGCACAAGTCCAGGCATGTCTGTGGGGCATTGCTATGGGCATGGCTTTAAGTTATACCAGGCTTCGGAGAGCGCAGTAGGGAAAGCACTGCAGTCTGTCCATACTGACAGCTTCAAGCACACTGGCGTGGCCACATTTGCGGCACTTGCAGAGACATTGGGAGCAGTGCATTATGGGCAGCTATCCCACAGAGCACCTTTTCCCATTCTGGGGCTGTGGCTTGTGGGAAGGGGGCGGGAGGTAGGACGCATTCTGTGTCCTGTCCCCACGCCCCATGATGCATCGGTTCGCATCCCAGCAATCCCTGTGCTTCCGTCCACATTTGGCGCCATCTTTCAATGTTTTTTGTACTGCGCGCTCTGTCTTCCCTTTTGGTCTGCGGGAATGGAGTCAGAACTGTTGAGGAATATGCTGACAAGCCTCTCCAACACGTCACATTTGGCAGTGAAGTTATTCCTTATGATCCAAAGTGACAGTGAGGACTCCGATGATGATATCGACTAGAGTAACGCATATGACACGAGATTGCTTGTGGAATTCATGGACATGCTCACCACTGTGGAACGTCGCTTCTGGGCTCAGGAAACAAGCACTGAGTAGTGGGATCACATCTTCGTGCAAGTCTGGGATGATGAGCAGTGACTGCAGAACTTTCGGATGAGAAAAGCCAATTTCATGGGACTGTGTGATGAGCTCACCCCCACCCTGCGACGCAAGGACACGAGATTGAGAGCTGCCCTGATGGTGGAGAAGTGGGTGGCTATTGCAATCTGGAAGCTGGCAACTCCAGACAGCTACTGATCAGTCACTAACCAGTTTGGAGTGGGAAAGTCGACCATTGGAATCATGTTGATGCAAGTTTGCAGGGCCATTAATCACATCCTGCTCAGAAGAACCGTGACTCTGGGCAACGTGCATGACATTGTGGCTGGCTTTGCACAAATGGGTTTCCCTAACTACGGAGGGGTGATAGATGGGACACATATTCCAATTCTGGCACCAGCCCACCTAGCCTCCAAGTAAGTTAATCAGAAGGGGTATTTCTCTATGGTTCTCCAGGCGCTTGTGGATCACCGTGGGCATTTCATTGACATTAATGCAGGCTGGCACGGAAAGGTGCATGATGCATGCATCTTTCGGAACACTGGCCTGTTCAGGAAGTCGCAAACTGGGACGTTTTCCCCAGACAAGAAGATCACCGTAGGGGAAGTCAAAATGTCCATTGTGATCCTTGGAGACCCCGCTTACCCTTTAATGCTGTGGCTCATGAAACCCTACACAGGGAGCCTTGAGAGCAGCAAGGAGCGGTTCAACAACAGGCTCAGTCGGTGCAGAATGACTGTGGAGTGTGCTTTTGGCTGTTTAAAGGGCTGCTGGAGCTCTCTGTATGAGAAGCTGGACCTGGCCGATGACAGCATCCCCGCGGTTATATCCGCATGCTGTGCCCTCCATAACATTTGTGAAGGGAAAGGTGAACGATTCACTCAGGCATGGAACTCCGAGGTTCAACACCTGGAGGCTGAATTTGAACAGCCAGAGAGCAGGGCTATTAGAGGGGCCCAGCGTGGGGCTGCAAGGATTAGGGATGCCTTGAGGGAGCAATTTGAGGCTGAAAGCCACCAGTAATGTCTGGTGCCTTGCACAGGAGTGAAGTGCAGTGGTTCCAATGTTAGTAGGAATCTGTGTTTGCTATGCTGACTTGCAGTGCCTGTTTCTTTCCTGGGCTAAGATATCTTTTACTTTATGCAATAATAAAGGATGTTTTCAAAGCCAAAAAATCCATTTATTGAAAAGAAAATTCATTTATTGAAAAGAAACACAACTGCTTGGGAAACAGAAAGGGCAAGGGAATGGGGTGGGGAACGGTACAATCACAGATTTGCATATGTCCTGTTATCATACTCAGCCTTCCTGTCTGGAGCGCTGTGCAATGAGTGCTGCACTTCAGGATGGCTACACTGCATGGTGATGGGGGTTGAGTGCAGTGGGTAAGGGTCGTAGTTTTCAGGGCTGGGTGGTGAAGCTACAGGTGTTGGAGGCAGCTGGTGGCGATAAGAACCCAGACGTTGGGGAAAGTGGGTTGGAGGTGACATGGGGGCACAAGGGAAAGAGTTTGGGGATAAGGGCTGCGGGGGTGGGGGCGGACGCGGTAGTGCTCTGCCTGCATGGCTACGAGCGCCTGAATCGAGGCCACTTGGCACTCCATGATGATTATTAGCTGATCCGTACTTTGCTGCTGAAGCTCTGTGCTTTTGTGCCGGCGCTCCTCATTCTGCTGGCAGATCCTCCTTTCACTCTCCCTCCACTCCTGCACTTTTAGATTAGTTAAGTGACTGCTACATTACTTTATACAGCATGTCTTCTTTGCTTCTACATGGCCTCTTCCTAATTCTTTGCAGTCTTTCGGCCGGTGATAACATGGACAGCTGAGATCTCAAGGTTGCATCTGTAAAGGCAAAATGCAACACTTAACAGAGGCAGCATTATTCACACCAGACAGAGCAATGATTCCCCTGTACTTAAGAGCAAGCACAGTCTACACAATAGCATAATTTGCCTGTCCCAAAGCAAGTGCACATAACCCATGGGTGCCCCAAAATAGTGAGTAAGCACAGCATCAAGGGGGACTGATTGTTTCACAGCTGTACTGTCCTCTCAGGTTCTGTGCCTTGGGGAGAGCCAACAGCTGCAGGGGACTCCTATACTGAACACTGTCCCCACATTTTCACCAGGATGAGTTCGTCCTGGAAGATATCTCGCTGCTGAGGGTGACCTGGGAAGCAAGGGAGGGTCTTCTACTACAATGCGGCTTCCGCCCTGGCCCATATGCAGCTTGCCTGTGTGCAGCAATGGTCCCCCTGCGCCTCACGGCACAGTGACGTGGACATGTTAGCCTGACTGGGACAAGGACCACAGTGGCTCTCCCAAGAAACCTGTGCAAGTGCATTGCCCAAGTTCTGGATGAGACCTTTGAAGAGATCACTGAGGCCGATTACCGTGATGTGAGAGAGCAAATCAACGCCCTATTCCACATCCAGGCATGCATACAGGTAAGCAACCGTTTTCATGTTCTCTCCACAGGTATTAATGCGGAGAGTGGACTAGATGATACATCTGAGCGAAGGGAACAGAAGAATCCG